TTATCCAAATAGTGGAACAGTGTTAGGGCAAACTTAGCATTAGGGGTAAAATACAAATAGTACAATTCCTGAGAGGCTGTAATACCAGTTGCATCAAAATGCATAGCTGTTTGCATAAAAATATTCTGGTTTTGATACCAGTTGATGATGTATCATAGTCATATAAATGAGTCTACTGATGTCTATTGGTCGTTCCAACACTGAGCTCAAATATCACCTTTGCTATAGGTATTTATATCCCACCTTTATTATTTTTGTAATTAACTCAAGGCTGGCAACATCTGATGCTCCTTTCTCCTATTTTTCCCACAACCACCACCCTGGGCTGAGAGAAAGTGACTGGCCTAAGTTAACCCAGTTGGCTTTCATGACTGAGGCCTAATTTGAACTGAGTCTCCCAATTTCTAGCCTGGTATCTTAACCACAAGACCAAACTGGCTTTCTATAAACAAGTCTACCCCATCTACAATTTGGGGAAAATTGTAGTAAACCAATTAAACAAATTACTCCATGAATTTTAATTAGCTGGTCTAGAGACGATTGAGTTCCAGCCCTGCCTTAGTCATGAAAGCCAACGAAGTCAGCCTCTCAACTCAACGCTCATACTGGGTTGCTGTTGTTGGGAAAATAGAGACAAGAATATTAGGTATGTTTGCCACTTTGAGTTGAACATATAACTCTATATTATACATACATACAGGCTGGATAATAAATAGTAACTACCATTCCATGTTTTAAATATTTCAAGAACAGTTTAAATACATTACATGCACATTAGTCTTATCACCTTAACAGGCTTAACTGAATGAAAAAGTTCCACCATGTACAGGTTGCCCTCGACTTACAATTCATTTAATGACTGTTCGAAGTTACAAAAACACTGAAAAAAGTGACTTATGGTCATTTTTCTTATTTATGACTGTTGCAGCATCCCCATAGTCACGATAAAAATTTGGATACTTGGCAATTGACTCATATTTATGACAGCTGCAGTGCCCCAGAGCCATGTGATCACCTTTTGAGACTTTCTGAGAAGCAAAGTCAATGGGGAAGCCAGATTCACTTAGCCATGTTACTAGTTTAAGGATTATAGTGATTCACTTAACAAATGTGGCAACAAAGGTCCTACAATGGGGGTAAAAGTCATACTTAGCAACAGAAATTCTGGGCTCAATTGTGGTCCTAAAGTAGAGTAGTAGTGGACTTTAGAAACAGAAGCAATTAAAATAAACTCAGATACAACAAGGTGGCAAGAGCCATTGTTGTTTTTTTTCTCAATTTCTGTGTTCCCTCATACTACCGACCTCAGCAGGCTGGGGAGACTAAAAGGCTTTGCAAAAACAAACAAACAAGGAATCCCAAGCCAGGGACAATCCCACGAGGACGAGTCCTGGCATCATTTGGGCCCTGGGGAAAAGGGTAGGTTTGGCTGTCACCCTAAGAAGCAAAAGCCTCACCACTGCAGGCCCCTCATTCTTCAGCTGCACCCATCCCTGCAAGCAGAAAATTAGCAAGGCAAGGAAGGTTCTAGCTCCAAGTTCTTTCTGGGTAGGAGGCCAGATTGACTCTCCCCTTTTGCTCCCACCCTGGATCTTTTTTTCTTTTCTTCAGTCAGAATAGAGCTGGAAGGGACCTTGGAGGTCGTCTAGTCCAGCCCCATGCTCAAACAGGAGACCCTATACCATTTCAGACAAGTGGTTATCCAATCTTTTCTTAAAAACCTCCATTGACTCCCTCTTCTTTGTGGCAACCCCTCAACTACTGGAATACTTTTTCAGGCCCAACCTTTCTAAAACCGCCCCTCTGAGCCTCATCTGGGCGCATCCCACGTTTCCAACCTGGTGGTGGGAGAGGTTGAACTATAATTCCCATCCTCCCCAACCCCCGTCCGGACTTGAAGGGTGCGTTTGAGCGGTTGAGAAAGGTTACCCTCACCCACAACTTTTCCGGGCTCTCCCGCCGAGCCCGCCTACGGTTACCTGTCGCCTCAATTGGCCCTCAAGCCGCTAGCTTCTCTTCCCCTCAAAAGCTTCGACGGTCTCTTCCGGCTCTCCTCAGCGCCCCTTCCAGTCACAGCGGAAGCCCGCCTTCCTTCTTGCCTTCTCCTCTCTTTAATTGGCTGGCAGATTCCCCGCCCCTACACTTCTCCTTGGTCAGAAGCGATGCCACTCAATATACGTAGGCTCAGGCTCTAATTCTCCCCCTGTCGCGAGCCTACACGGACCAGCATGCACCGCGCCCAAAGTCGCTCTTGCTCCGCTTCCGCCTGCCTTCGGTTATTGTGCTGTGTCACGTCGGCCGGGCGGAAAGAAAAGGGAGGGGGTGGAAAGGGCGGGGCCTCGGAGTTGCGGAAACGTTGGAGAATCACGTCCTACGGCGGAAGCGTAGCTATGTAGCCTGGAAGTTTGCACTGATGAATGTTGCGCTGCCGTAGATCTTTTCCTCTATATTGCATTTACGCTAGATATCCATACCCGATAATTATCCTTTTTTTTAAAAAAAAGATTATTTTAATCCGCTTCCTCCTCAGCCTGTTAGGGCGGTCAGTTCACCCCTCTCATGAGCTCTACCCTAACAAAGTCTCATTTTTCTGCAGGGAACATGAAACACGTGTACTGGGGTTATTTGAACCAAGGTGGGATTTCTTTCCAAGGCTCCTCACTGACGATCTTTGATTTAGCTCCCAGGGCAGCTGGAGAGGGAAAGCTCCATCAATGTGCCTCCTGGTTAAAAGACTCAAAATACCTGAAACTCAACATAGTCTAATTCAGATAGTCATCAACTTACAACGGTTCGTTTAGTGATTGTTCAAAGTTATAAACAACACTAGAAAATGTGACTTAGGACCGTTTTTCATTGTCATGACCTCTGCAGCATTCCCCATGATCATGTGATCAAAATTCAGATGCTTGGCAACTGGCTCATATTTATGACGGTCACAGTGTCCTGAGGTCATGTGATCCCCTTTTTGCGACCTTCGGACAAGCGAACTCCATGGGGAAACCATATTCACTTCACAACCAGGTTACTGACTTACCAACTGCAGCAATTCACTTAAAAACTATGGCCAGAAGAGTTGTATAATGGGGCAAAACTCACTTCACAAATGTCTCCACTTAACAACAGAAATTTTGGGCTCAATTGGGGTCGTAAGTTGAGGACTATCTGTACAAAAATCAGAGCTTGGTATTATGACGGGGGTAACGCAAAAAAAAAAAAAACCCAAGGCTGCATCTTCAAGGTTGACTGTTACCAAACTGGATCTTTCAGGGAACTGAATACGTTGAGACAAAAGATGTTTTTGTAGGTTAAAGCAGTGGTCGCCAACCGGTGGGCTACGGCCCACAGGTAGTCCGTGAGAAAATTTTGGTGGTCTGCAGAGAAATGTCACCCCCAGAGCACCCCCCAAAACAATCCAAGCTGCAGGGGAACACAAGGCTGCGCCGCCCACATGGCTCACAGGTACCCTCCCTGCCCACTCACTCCTTACCTGGCAAACTTGCCTGCTAAGTTGCTACTTTTCCTTTTTTCCCCCTGACCGTCAGCTGTTCTGCTGTGCCTGGAGTTTTAGATTAACTAGAAAGCAGGAAACGGTTGGATTTCTTGCTTTCTGGCTAATCTTTAGATCTTGGGCTCTGCTCTGAACCTTCCTTAGGACTTTAGTTTCTATTATGCAGCGCAGACTCAGGTAGCAGATGGCAAATAGATAGATCGCTGAATGAATCTGTGATTCTGTGAGCAACTCAATCTGCCTGCCTGCTTTGCCTGCTTTTGGATAAAAGTTGCTCTTTTTTAATAAAAAAAAATCAGTATTTACATACATGGTGTGTTGAGTTAATTTTATGAGTTTGCTTGCAAGCAAATTTTATGTGACAGACTCAGGAAGCCGATGACAGATTCTCAGTGAATCTGTGATTCTGTGAGCAACTCAATCTGCCTGCCTGCTTTGCCTGGTTTTGGGTAAAAGTTGCTCTTTTTTAATAAAAAAAATCAGTATTTACATATTTATAATATTTACATACAAGCCATGGCCAGCCAGTCACATGACCACCAAGCCACACCCACAAATTAGGCCATGCCCTCAGAACCAGTTAATAACTTTGAATCCCACCTCTGCCTCTGTTTTTGTGTGTGTGTGTGTGTGTGTGTGAGAGAGAGAGAGAGGTTAGATCAGATCTCTCTCCCTCCCTCCCACCAAAGTCAGCAAGCCACCATCAGTCAAAATTCATATTAGTGTTCCCTGGATTTTAAAATTATGAGTTTGGTGGTCTCTGAGGTCCAAAAGATTGGTGATCCCTGGATTAAAGTAAATTTGTGTGGTGGTGCTGGGGGTATTATTATTTGTCTAGCTTGTTTGCTGGAAAAGGGGACAATGCAATACAGGTAGTCCTCGACTTACAACTGAGCCCAAAATTTTGCCCATTTATGACCTTTCTTGCCAGTTTTGAAATGAATCACTGCAGTTGTTCAGTTATTAACACTAGTAGTAAAGTGAATCGGACTTCCCTGTTGACTTTTCTTCATCAGAAGATCGCAAAAGGGGATCACATGACCCCAGGACACTGCAACCATCATAAATATGAGTCAAATTGCCAAGCATCTGAATTTTGATCACATGACCACGGGGATGCTGCAAGGGTCATAACTGTGAAAAAACGGTTGTCAGCCCTCTTTTTCAGTGCTTCTGTAATCGGTCTCTAAACGAACTGTTCTAATTTGAGGACTACATATAGACCTGCGTTCACACAACATCCTTAAACACGGGCTGAAGAAAAACTCCCTCCTTAACTTTCTGTGCAACCTATGAGGCATGCATGCTGTGAAACATCTTTCATTTGGCTGCCCAAGTTGCCTCCTGAGGTAAAACTCTCCAATTTTTGAGGGTTTGGGTTTCTCCAGGAAACCAGACAGAATCAAAGCAGGTATAATAAACCCAGGTCAGCTGATTCACCCATTTGCTGCAAAGGGACACAATTAAAGCAAGGACCAGAAACTCGGTGTCTCCTCCAAAACAGCCTTTATTTGCATTGACACTTTTTTTTTCAACATTTATGTCCACAAACCTGTACAGACTTCTCTAAATAGGTAAATACGAATTTGTAATAGTTAATATAGTTGGGTATTGACAGTTGTTAAATATTATAAAAATAAATCCATTTTGCTAAAGCCTTTTTTTTTTTAATTTTTAATATCCTTCCAACAGGTTCATCTAGCATGGATAAGGCAAAAAACCACAGCCGGCATATTTCTGCCAGGAAGCACTGTTGTTTGGGAGAAGCCCCATGGGAACTTACATAAAAATGCAGAAGGGCACCGCGGGATCTTTCTCCGCAAGCCCCTGGATCCCAAATGAGGCTTGATCCAAGAAATTCTAGATGGATTGTGCCATGTACATCATCATCATCATCATCATTATTATTATTTTTATTATTATTATTAACAGGATTATTAACGTCAAAATAAAAAACACAAAACAGGACAGCAGCAGAGAACGAATGGGGAAATTAAAGCTGGTAAATGGTGTGTGCTTTTTTTCCCCCTCCCCACATGCTATAAACATCATAAAAATCATTTTTTGTTAGAACTGTTTGCTTTTTTATAGGCATTTAAATATTGCTTTACTTTACAGTTAAACCCAAACCACTTAAGGGTTTAAAGAGGCAACGACGTTACAGTAGATTATCAAATGAAGAATTAAAAACACGACATGAAGAGAACAGCCACATTTGCAACATTAAAATACACAAAATACAACAAACATAGAAAAACTGAAGAGCTACACAGGCACCTGAACTGTTGGGATTATTACAACAATGTCTTTTTCAGGATTACAGGCTACTTGACAGTTCGTAATCTGAAGCTTCTAAATTTTGGGTAAGAACTCTGAGAGTCAAAGTAAAACTTTCAGAAACTAATTCTAGATGGTACTGATTCACATATTTGTATATTAATTTATTAAAATATCTCTAATCTTATGCTTTAAAACTTATGTTTATGAAGGTTTTAGTCTAATATTCTACTTTTGAGGACCAAGGGGTTTTAAAGATGCCCAACAGAAAGCACCCATGTATTAATCCACCCCAAACTGTATGCAAGGTGCAGTAGTAAGAAACTTAAATTATGTTTATCAAACTCATCCAAAAGGTGCCATTTCTACCCTTTTCTCTTTACATATACAGGCTAACAATGTAAATCAAATCATTACCAAGCAGGAATTTCTATCTTTCCTTCTATTTTTTTTTTAATTATACTTTCCAGTTAATGTTCACTTGTCAGATAATTTAATGAATTAGTAGTGTTCCATTGATCAAGCATCTTGTTGAAGTCATGTCAAAATAACTGCTCATCTGTAGGTTGCTTTGAGGAAGAGAGCAAAGGCTAGCAAAGGTTTGTGGACATGTTACGTTTCCAGTGGGGTTTATTTTGGAATGGGAAGTTCCATCTTCGTTCATAGCCTGCTGCGGTCATGCTATTCTAGAAATGGTCTAGTAGTGTTAATCTTTGTAGTTATTTCTTGCTACGATAAAGACTGCATTTATTGTGAAGTCAACCTAATGGCAGAGCAAGAAAAGCTATTCATCCACAGTTTTATTGACTCCGGTGTCGTGAGATAGCATGAGGCATGTGGGTATGGAATTCTTCCCAATGCTGAAGGGAACACCACTTTCTGCAAATATAAAAGTTTTGTGTGTCGACCCACTGGCCTGGAGTCAAGCTAATGTATGCACAAGCCTTAATTCAAAACAAAGTACCAAGGTAAACACAATGGAAGTAAGCAGCCAAGAAAATAACTATTTCTTTCCACATAAAAAAATATCTTCTTTAAGTTAATACCTATCTCAATATTTAACACGATTATTATTTTTATTTTAAAAGTGCTCCCCCCCCCCCCATGGAAGTGTCAAATGTAAGGCAGTGCTTAGGTTGTGATGGTGGTACTTATAATAAGTGCAGGTAAAAATGTAAACAAACTAAAAGGAAAAAAACAATATAATTAAAGCTTTTAAGTCGTCAAACTTTAGTGCGCGTTTTAATTCTAATATGTTCTGAAGCATTATATTTAGTACAGTACCCTGCCATTGGTTAGAAATGAAATATACCTATGTGGGAGAATGGACTTGCAGCTTAGGAATTATTTTCCAGTACAATTACTTGCAGAGAAACAAATTAGCTAAGTTAATAGCCTCCTACTATTGGTACTGGACAACAGATTTTCTGCAGTCTTAATTTCACATCATTTTTTCAGCCAGCTACCAAATCATGAACATATAATACAATATATGCCTCAGTTGGTATACTATAGAAGATGAGTCATCAAGACCTCCAATATAAATGTATTTTCAGTAGACAGTGATTATACAAAAGGTGAATGAAAAATATTCCACTCTTCCTTTAAAATCGGTTTTAATTTCAATTTAAAAGATTGCATTTTCCTCCAACAGCAAATTGGAATTTAGAAACATCGCTTGCCACTTCTTTAAAAAAAAAAGTCCAACCATTTAAAAAATTAACATGATTCTTTCCAGATATTAATGCAACCCACCTGCAGTTGTCTGCATGCTTAAATTAAGCATACAGACCACCTTGCTTAACCCTTTCCAAAAGGTTTATTAATAAAAGGAGAAAAAGTGAGCTTCTGTTGTCCCCTATTTTCATGTTTCTGGGGTTAGAGCTTGAAATACTGTATCATAACAGCTGGTCTTTGTATATAGTCTTATTGTTCAGATACTGAAATCAGTGGGTTATGAGAGCAATATAAACAGCCAATTCTATAGTGGGCTTAAAGCACAAAAATGACTGCTGGAACCAATATTCACTGTTCCTATCAAAAACAGAAGGGCCCGAGAGTTTCTGGACTGGGATACATAATAGATAAATTAATCTGTTAACAATAAAATATGCACTGATTCATGGGTAACATTATGAAGGAAAAGGCAATATATTGAAATACAGGGAGACTACTGTGATGCAAATGACTTCAAGAGAGGGACTACTGAAGCATTTTGAAGCCCCTAATACAATAAATGAACTCGAAGCTGCAATATTTAGCAAATGTAGATAACCAATAACATAAAACTTAGAGTTAACTAGTGCCTGTCCAAATCAATTCTCTTAAAAGTATACTTTATTGCCTCAAGTATTTTTATGGGTTTTTTTGCTTGAAATGTAATAAAAAACACTCAAATATTCCTGTATCATAGACAAATGTTCATGGCACTTATAATCCAATCTCTTAATCGTTTCACTGTCCCTTTTAAATTATTATTCTCTTGCTGGTTTACCATTTAACAACAAGGTAAATCATCTCCAATTTGGTAAATAATAATCTAGTAATTATTAACTTATTCATAAAGCCACATATTCTCATTAATGTGTGTTAGAAATAAAAAAGCATTCCTTCCCTCTCAATCCAAACAGCTTCAGAATGACAAAGCCTACACTTATTCTCAAGGAAATTCTACCAAGTGGAGATGCATTAAAAGCTTCCACTGTATCATTCAGCATTGGACAAACTAAGAAATTGTTGTTCAAAAACCTGTTATCAGTTGTGATGCAAGCAAGTGATTCGTGGGGGGAAAAAGCCCAAAATAAATATGAACTTTTGCAGAATGTATCCGAGGCAAATTGAAAAAGGAAGAAGGATGCCCGTGTTATGAAATGAATGGGAAAATCAGTCTTCCAAAGCAGAACTGCAAACAAACAACATTTCTGAACAGAGCAAGGAGTGTGATTTCTTACATGATTATTTACATGACATCCAATTTCTTATAAATATCTCCAAAGTGGGGTTTAAGACAAAACATTTTGCAACTTCAAACACACAAGAGTTTGCTGTTATCCACACTTACAAACCAGCCCAACATTCAATGGAGTAGTTCCTTTTATAAAAATAAAATCATAGATACTTCATTGAATCAATAAATCATAGTACTCAGAGGCTGGGCAAAATGGAGAAATCGCTCCTGAAAATTAAGTCTATCTCTACTGTATGTTGTCAAACTTTTAAAAGTTAGGAGTGTTCTCCTGTGGAGTGTTACTCCTGTGAATTTTGAGTCACTCTGGATTCTTGCTAGAAACTTTTTCCAATTGGACCAGCGGCATATCTGTTAGGCTAAGGTGTCCCTGTGGCCTCCAAGTTATGAATACTTTGAAGATATCTTTTATTGTTCAATTTTATTTTATTTTAAAAAGTACCTATCTTTTCTTTTTTAAGAAAGGAACTATTTTCCCACCGGTTATACTGAGTTAATTCTGGCCAAAAAAAATAAAAATAAAACATGAAATGATAAATTGAAGGAAGCTAACAAAAACATGCAAGCATCTTTCCCCATTACAAATTTCATGTTGCAACTTCAGAAAAATGAGTAACAGCACTTCAGTATTTTGGCAAATGTACATGACAAAACCTTGATCAGTGATGGATGATTTTCATTGCTTTAGGAAAATACATTATTTTCTTGTCATGACATAGCCCAATAGCCGCTGGACTCATTTAAGTCTACCAATTTCTGGGCAAAAGAGCAACTGCATTCAAAGTTTTCAATAGATATCTGGACAGTCAAAGAAATTTCTATCAAAATATCCTCCCGAGTATAACCAGTCAGCAGTCCTAGTATATGGATTAGTGCCTTGGTAAAACCATCTGTAAGGAAATAAAAACATTTTTTTAAAAACCAAAGGTAGAAGAAAGGTGGTTAAATTCAGCAAAATACAGATAGTCCTTGACTTATGAACACAACTGAGTCCAAAATTTCTGTTGTTAAACAAGTTTTGCCCCATTTTATGACCCTTTTTTGTCACAGTCGTTAAGCGAATCAGTGCATTTGTTAAGTGAATCATGTGGTCATTAAACAAATCTGGAGTTCCTCATTGACTTTGCTTGTCAGAAGTTAGCTGGGAAGGTTACAAAGAGTGATCATATCCAACATACCTTCCTCCTCCAATTTTCTCAACAACAACCCTGTGAGGCGGACTGGACTGAGAGTGCGACTGGCCCAATGTCACCCAGCCAGCTTTTCTGCCTAAGGCGGGATTAGAATTCACAGTGTGCTGGTGATTGGCCCACAGTCACCCAACTGGCTTTCAGGGCTGAGATGGGACTTGAATTTGAATGGTCTTTAATGTTTATTTACTTTAAAGTTTAGTTTAAACTTTTCATTCACATTTTTTTATTATTCCCTCCGAGGAAGATGTGAAGAGAATCCTTTCCAAATTTGCATCTGTGATAAAATTGGGTAGGACAGCAAATATCCTGAGAGACAGAAATCCAAAGTGATCCTGAAAGGTTAAGAAATTGGGCTGAAAAGATAGAATTATATTTAGCAGCGCAAATGTGAAATTCTTTGCTGGGAGAAGAAATTAAATGCAGGACACAGGGGACTTTAGCTTGGTAACAGTACTGGCAAAAAAACTTGGTAATTGATTGCAAAATGAGTTCAGGCTAGCCATGTGATGTGGCTGCAAAAAGACAAATTGTAAGGCAATTTCCATCAAAGATAGTTTACAAATTATGGGAAGTAACTGTTTTGTTTTACACTTTACTGATCACATCTCAACCCGAGTACTGTGTTCAGCTCCAAGGCTTTTGGAAAAAATATCCAGGTAGGAAGATTTAGGAAGGGCAGTGAGGATTATCAAGGGGCTACTAGAAGTTTAGCCTCACAAAAAGAAGACTGGGCTGAATGGGGAGAGAAATGATAGCTTTTTTTTCCCCCAAGTATTTAAAAAGTGTCATAGAGAAGACATGATTAGAGAGACAGGCCAGAAGGAATAATGATTGAAATAATTAATAATAAAAGAAGGAATAAGTAGTCTGTGTTGCCTATTTGCCTCTTTAATCTTTAGAAGGTAAGATTTGTAGCTCAGGGTTGAACTGTTCCTGGTGCTCTCTGAGCTTGGTTATCTTCTTGCAGAATTTCATTACCCAACTAATATAAACACAGAAAACAAACCCCACTCCATTCTAGCACTTATAATGTTATCTAGTTGGGTAATAAAATGTCTGCAGAAAACAGCCAAGCTTAGAGAGCACCAAGGACCCCATTCTTTAATCTTCACTTTGCACTTCTTCCTATTATAAAACAAAAACTTAAAGTGTGTGTGTGAGAGGGGGAGAGGGGGAGAGGGGGGGGGAGAGGGGGGGGAGAGAGAGAGAGGGAGAGGGAGAGGGAGAGGGAGAGGGAGAGAGAGAGGTGCAAAAAGTGAGTGAGTTTTACTTTAGACAGCAATTCATTCCTAACTGTGCTCACAAAAATATTGCCTGTCTCTTAATGGAAAAGTGTGAACTTTAAAACTGAAAACATAATTTAAAAAACACTTATGTAAGTTGAGAAAGAAGACTGCTATGTGATGAGATGCTACAGAGTTCCTGGATCCAATCTGGGTCGGTCAGTGGGACCGATGGTTTCTGGTGAGAGAGAGAAGTTCCCTGAGGATGGGCTCCAAGCATGAATCCGAAAGCCTGGAAGATTAAACCTCTGGTCCCAGTGACTGATGCAGATTAAATCCTGCAACATCATCCTGGGATATTTGCCTTCATTCATATATATATATAGTTCCTGCTGCAGGCACCTAAAGTGGTCAGCACTCTTCCCTGGCCCCAGAACTATGAATTACCTTGTCCTCCAGTCAATTTCCTCTTTTGCACGATCCTTACGAGCAGCTCTTTGCTTTTCTTCTAGCCTCTCTTTTTCTTTGCTTGCCTGATCTAACAGATATTTCAAGAATTATTTTAATGAAAAAGGCAAAAACAGTAGATGAAGGCATTAAAGAACAGTTCAATTTAAGACCAGTTTTAATACTTCCTCATGAATCTCAACAATGTATTCAGATTTGTAGTTGCTCCAGTGCATTTTTCCCTATTTGAGGACAGAATTTATCATGCAACACCTCTATAAGATTTTAGGTCAAGAAAAACTATTTCCACCTAAATAATTGCAGTGGGATATTAGAAAACAAACGGAAATAAAGCAAACCCACAAATTGGACCACTAAGTATATGTATACTCTTTCAATCATTATTCTGAACCCTCAGCTATCTATTGATAGTCAACTTGAGTTTTGACAACATACTTGTTAGGAATGTAAGTCACCTAACGGTTAGTTGGGTTGGAAAATATATAAACCAGGATAGAAATTTTAATACTGTCTCTTTAAGGGAATGCTAAAATTGTAATTGGGTGTGGTTCCTCAAACGGCCATAAGATGGAGCCAGAAACCTGGCTTGTCCTGTTCTGGTGTTTCTGGAGAGTGTTGCTGTTCCTCCATGTTTCCCTATTGACTGTTATTCTTGGATTTGATGTAAGTCTTTTACTGAACTGTTTTTGATACTGGACTTTGTTATTTGGATTATCCCTGGACTGAAAACTGACTGCTTTAACCGTGAATGACTTGGACTGTTTTGTTGAACTTTGTTTAACCGTTTTACTGGAAGTAAAAACCTATATTTTACTATACAGTGTGGCTGTGTGCTGTGTGTGTGTTATTCTCTCACTACGTCTCCCTGTGTGCGCTCATTCTCCTAACAGGGAATTACTTCCATAATACTCAAGAGAAATAAAATCTGTAATTATATAAATTATATATATAAAGAACGGTTTCCAGAATTAGGTCCAGCTAGTTTAATGAAAAGAAAGACTACGGATGATATGATAGCAGTCTTCCAATATCTAAGAGGTTACTACAAAGAAGAGCAGGTCAATCTTCTCTCCAAAGTACCTGAAGGCAGGACAAGAAGCAATGGATGGAAATATCAAGTAGAGAAGCCACCTAGAACTAAGGAGAAGTTTCCTAACAGTGAGAACAGTTAGTCAGTGGACGGATTAGTTGTGGATGCTCCATTTGTCTGAAATGGTAGGGCTTCCTGCTTGAGCAAAGGTTGGACTAGAAGACCTCCAAGGTCCCTTCTAACTCTGTTCTTCTATTATTCGGGTATGTGCAAAAGATCCATTTAACTTGAGGTATCTGAGGAGTTGTCTCTTCCCAATGGGACTAGCCCACCCCATAGAAGAGGCCTGCTATGGATCTGATTTGCTAAGGAATTCCAGTGGGCGGGTCCAAGGAGAAGAGTCTTTTCTGCTGTGGCTCCATCCCTGTGGAACACTCTACCACTGGTGGTGAGAATTGAACTGCCAAATTGCAGGCATCCGGCAGGCAGCAGAAGTAGCCTGCAGTACTGCATTTTAACCACTGCACCACCGTGGCTTGGAGGGACCTTGGAGGTTTTCTAGTCCAATCCCCTGCTTAGGCAGGAAACCCTATCCCATTTCAGACAAATGGTTGTCCAATCTCTTCTCAAAAATCTCCACTATCAGAGCACCCAAAACTTCTCGAGGAAAACCATTCTACTGATTAATTGTTCTTACTGTCAGGAAATTCTCCCTTAGTTCTAGGTTCGTTCTCTCCTTGGTTAGTTTCCATCCATGGCTTCTTATCCCGCCTTGAGGTGCTTTGGAATTACACTATTTTTCTAAATATGTAGAAAATGTTTCTACCATTTACCCTTTAGTAAATTCCCCTCTGTATCCTAAAACAGCCCACAGCATGTCAGGAGCTGACCTTTGAAAAGTATTACCTTCAAACAGTAGTGCTATGGCTATAAACACCAGTTACATTTGATGCAACTAGACTCAAGAGGAGTTAATAGGAGTCTTCTCCTTTCATTAATGCAATAATTTTCCTCATCCGTCATAAAAAGTACAACTTCAGAACAAGGTTTAGAAGGGCACTCAACACTTTGGAGGTATTATGATGGATCCTTCAAAGGATCAAACCATCCTCGGAATAGAGAGGAGAGGATAAGACATAACATCTGTAAGAAAAACAGAAACCTTGCTTAAGGTTTCTAATCTTTGAGAATAATGGTTTTTTGCATAGACATACCTATCTCTCCATTCTCCATATGCCTTATGTCTGGTCTTAACCGACAGTCAGTAGGAGGCAATATATCTTCCATGCCCTTCTCCCATTCATTGAGAGTGACAGCAAAACTGGTGAAATTGTACATCTGAAGCAGAAACAGGAATGTAAACATATACAGCATATAGTACAAGCCACCTTCATCTCTAAGGGTGGCACTGATATTAGACCACATGTTACAAACCAAAGTAAGTCAGTTTCCCACAAAAAGCTATTAATTTTTTATAGTTAATTCCCCAAATCTTACACTAAAAGTCAACATTCCAAATGTAATTAGAGGTAGTCCTCGACTTATGACCACAATTGAGCCCAAACTTTCTGTTGTTAAGTGAGATATTTCTTACGCGAATTTTGTCCCATTTTTGCTTGTCAGTAGGTCACAAAAGGGGATCACAGGACCTTGGGACACAGCAACTGTCATAAATATGAACCAGTTGCCAAGACTCTTAAATTTTGATCACGTGACCATGGAGATGCTGCAATGTCATAAGTGTGAAAAATGGTCATGTCACTTTTTTCAGTGCCATTGGAACTTCAACTGGTCACTAAATGAACTGTTGTAAGTCGAGGACTACCTGTACTCCCTTAACCCATTTATAATTTTCTTAGATCAAAAACTTTTGTTGTTTATTTCAAATTCTTGGACTTCTTAAACTTGCCATTAATTTTTATTTTTTCAGAGGTGAAGCTAAACTCACGCAGCAACTTCTTCTTGTTCCAAAAGGTTTAAAAAGGAACAAATGTCCCCTTTTATCTCACATCACTTTCCTAACCAAGTTCCCCAAACTGTGAATAGTTCCTTTGAAAGCAGAGAGCGGGAGAAGCAAAGATGACTTCCAGGACAAGTGTCAAGTCATATCTCAAGTTAACAGAACAAGGAAAAGTTGGTTTCCTGCATCAAAACCCTTCACTCACACTAATTTTCACTATGGCTTGAAAAAAAAAAAGACTTGCTTATTTCCACATAATCATAAATAAAACAGGTAAGAAGGAATCTACCTGTTTATTTTCTGGACAATGAAAACAATAATAACAATAGCACTTAGACTTGTGTTTTACAGCTCTCTCTAAGCCCATGATGGTGAACCTATAACATTTACATTTTACATTTACATATTATTTGATTTGTCAATCGCTTACAAGATACAAGTATAAGAATAAATATAGTTTTGAATACATGAGATAGATACTTATAAGAAAAATAAAAAAACAATAGGACAGAGATGGTAGGCACGATTGGTGTGCTTATGCACGCCCCATACAGGCCTCTTAGGAAGAAGGGGTGAGGTCAATAGTAGACAGTCTAAGGTTAAAGTTTTTGGGGTTTGGGGAAGAAACCAGAGTCAGGTAGAGTATTCCAAACACTGACCACTCTGTTGCTGAAGTTGTATTTTCTGCAGTCAAGTTTGGTGTGGTAAACCTTGAGTTTGTATCTATTGTGTGCTCTTGTATTGTTATGATTGAAGCTGAACTATTCATTTGCAGGTAGGACATTGCAATGTATGATTTTATGTACTATATTTAGATCTGACCGGAGGTGGCGTAGTTCTAGGTTTTCTAGGTCTAAGTTTCAAGTCTGGTGGCATAAGGTATTCTTCAATGAGTAGAGGAGCAGAGAACTCTTCTTGTGAAATATTTCTGGACTTTTTCAATTGTGTTAATATCAGATACATGATATGGGTTCCAGACTGATGAGCTGTATTCAAGTATAGGTCTATCAAATGTTTTGTATGCTCTAGTTAGTAGTGTGATATTACCAGAGAAGAAGCTACATAGGATTAGATTAACAACTCTTAATGCCTTTTTGGCTATGTAGTTACAGTGGACTCTAGCACTTAGATCATTTGAGATAAGTACTTCAAGGTCTTTGACAAAGTTTGGATCATCAACAAGGTCTTGACTATTTAGCTTGAATTTTATTTTCTGATTTTTTCTGCCAATATGTAGGACAGAGCATTTATTTGTTGAGATTTGAAGTTGCCATTTGATTGACCATTCTGATACATAGTCAAGGTCTTTTTGGAGGGTAGTAGTATTGTCTGTGGTGTTGAATAGCTTTACATCATCAGCTAAGAGAACGCAGTTGCTCTTAATATGATCACAGAGGTCATTTATGTAGAGGATGAAAAAGAGTTGGTCCTAGAACACTGCCTTGGGGAACACCACTGTTGACAGGTACAGAATTTGATAGGACGCTCCCAATTTTGACCATTTGTTGTCTGTTTGACAGGAATGTTTCTATCCAGTTATGTAGGTGTCCAGATATAGCATAAGATTTTAGTTTTAGTAGTAGTTTGTCGTGTACCACTGAATCAAAGGCTTTACAGAAATCTATATAGATTGAGTCTATTGCTTTCCTCTGATCGAGTTGTGTAGTCCATATGTTTTTGCAGTGTAAGAGTTGCAGATTACACGATAGTTTTTTTCTGAAACCAAATTGTTTATTAGAGAGTAGGTTGTTTGTCTCTAAGTGGAGGATAATGGACTGGTTAATAATTGATTCCGTGACTTTACAGGTGACGCAGCATAAAGAGATTGGTCTGTAATTTTCAACTAGGCTGGGGTCTCCCTTTTTGAAAATGGGGATGACCGTGGCTTGTCACCATAGTTTTGGCAAGGAGCTGGTCCTGAAAGATTTTTCAAAGATTATGCTTGGAGGTTCGGCTATGGCAGTGGATAGCTTTTTTAAGAAGTAGGCACATATTCCATCCGGTCCAATAGATAGGGATGGTTTTAGATTGCGCAGTGCTTTTTCAACAATGTCTTCTGTAAAATCAATATGTATTAGATCATTGTAGTTATCTGTGGTTCGACTAGGAAATACTGGACTTGATCCATTGCTGTTTACAAATACTGAGCCGAAGAATGTGTTAAAGAGGTTTGCTTTGATGGTGTCGTCATTACAGTCTTTACCATTAGGTCCTTTCAGGGGTGGGCTGGACCTTGAGTCGTTTAGTTTGTTGTTTACAAAATTGCAGAAAACATGGGTGGAATTTGTGCGTTGAAGGTTTTCCTCTTGTTTAATGTGATAATTAGTGCATTCAGTTTTTTATCTGGTGGCATAGATTTTTGTATCGGCTTTTGAAGTTGGCAACGTGACCAGATTTGTTTTTCTGCCAAAGTGATCTCTTTTTGGATTGCAGCTTCCTTATTGTTATGAGTAATCTGTTTTTCCTGGTTTTAGGAGTTGTTATTGGTACATATAGTTTGATGACTCTTTTGATTTCTAGTAATAATATGTTGTAATGGTCTTCAACAGTATTGCATCCAGTGAATAGAAATTGCCAATCTCAAGGGAAGAGAGATCATTGATTATAAGATCATAGTTGCCTTTTTTGAAGTTATAATTGGGGGTTTTGTCATTGTGATGATTTTTGGGTGGACGTATGTTGAGACAAAAGTCAATCATGTTGTGGTCACTGTTGGAAAAGGGTTCTTTAATTTGTATTCTGTAAATTGAATTCAAACTATTGCAGAAGATGAGATCGAGGCAGTTGTTAGATTGAAGTCACCAAGAAAGATAAAAGCATGTGGGCAGGATGCTGCCCATGTTAGTAGTGTATTTAGCTTGTTTACATGTTCGATGTCATAATAAAAAAAAGACTTGCTTATTTCCACATAATCATAAATAAAACAGGTAAGAAGGAATCTACCTGTTTATTTTCTGGACAATGAAAACAATAATAGCAATAGCACTTAGATTGTGTTTTACAGCTCTCTCTAAGCCCGTGATGGTGAACCTATAACACGCGTACCGGAAGTGGCACACAAAGCCATGTCTGCCGGAATGCGAGCTGTTGCCCCAGGTGTTCTATAGCGCATGCGCGCGCCTCCCGCCAGCCAGTTGATTTTCGGGTATCTGCTGCGCATGCTCGGGGGGAAGGTTGCATGCGGGAGATGTGTGCACATGTGCAGGGGGATGGGGGGAGTACAGGGTGGGTCGCACGTGCATGTGTAGGGGGGAGCAAGGGGTCACTCATGTATGCACAAGGGCAGTGGGAGCACAGGGGGTTGCACATGCATACGCAGGGGAGCGGTGGGAGTGTGGGGGTTGCGCGTGGATGTGCAAGGGGGTGGGGTTCACGCGGGGGGGTTGCATGTGCATTGCATTATGGGTGCAGGCATGCATGTGAGCAGAAGCGCACGCACATGAACACTTTCGGCACGCGACAATAAAAAGGTTAGCCATCACTGCTCAGCCTATTGCCCCCCAACAATTTGGGTCCTCATTTTACTGACCTTGGAAGGACAGAAGGCTGAGTCAACCTTGAGCCGGTCAGGATTGAACTCCTGGCAGTCAACAGAGTTAGCCTGCAATACTGCATTCTAACCATGGCCATAATACTTATGGGCAGGGGTGGGAATCAAATTTTCTAACAACCGGTTCTGTGGGTGTGGCTTGGTGGACATGTTATTGGTTGGGCGTGGCCAACTCAATATCACTCACATCGAGGCACGCATCTCCTTGCCTGGCCTCTCATGACTGTGGGGATGCTGCAACAGTCGTAAGTGTGAAAAATGGTCATAAGTCACTTTTTTCAGTGCCACTGTAACTTTGAATGGTCACTTCACACAAGCAAACTACCAGCAAAGGAGGGGGGGAAAACTCCAGAGATGTTCCTGAGACAGGAAGTCTAGTCCTGCCAAGAATGTAATAAGGGCTAACAGAGAGGCAGTTTCTGTAAGCAATACCAGAATGTTTCCTTCCTGCCTTCCTTACAGGATTAGGCCAGTCATTTCTTCTAATAACCGGTTCTCCAAACTGCTTAGAATGTTAACAACCGGTTTTAGAGAATAGGTGCGAACTGGTAGAATCCCACCCGTTTATGGGTCATTCTTCTTTTTTTGAAACGTCTAGTGCACACTTCTGGATATATATGATACAGCTTCATTCCAAGAACAAACTTGTCTCCTAAAAAGTCTGCTTTTATTAAAAAGCTAAGATGCCTGGTAAAAGTATAGAATTTCAGGGGTTTTCAAACTTGACAGCTTTAAGACTTGTGGACTTCAACTCCCAGAATTCCTCCTCCAGTCATTAGCTCAAGAATTCAACTCAAGGAGTTGTAGTCCACAAGTCTTAAACCTGCCAAGTTTGAAGAGCCTTGGTTTAGATTCTATAGCCTTATATAAGCAAAATACTATAAATTGCTAAAGTGCTTTGGGAAGTGAGAGAATCAAGTATATTATTTTATAAAGGTTACAAATGGCAAAGGAATTGGAGGTTATGAAAACACTAATCAAGGAAAATAACTGACCTGGAAGAATCCATTTCTGCTTTGTAAAAATGCTATCAATAATTCTTTAGAAAAGGACCAATTTATTTCTTGAATAATTGCAGAATGCTGCAAAAAAATGTTCAAGATACAACATGCTAGCCCTGGGGAGGAAACAGCATAATAGGAACACATATATTTTGTGCAGCAATAGTGCAAGAACTGACTATCAAAACAGTCAACCAGTTCTCCTTTCATTGCTAAAAGGGCACTAATAAGTATGAAGTATAAATGGAACAATATAATTTCAACATACTTTCATTCTATGGATTGGATCAAAAGCTATTTTTTTAAAAAGGTTAAGCTGTCCAATATATGACACCATTTAAAATGATAGCAGTAGCACACAATGATCCGGTGACTGCAGGGCTTAAAATAAATGCCAAGGGCACTTTCAGGAGCCAAAAACTGCAATGTAGGAGCTGTGAAAATATATCTGGACATGTTTGGGCATATAAAAACTATTTAAACACAACATGGCTTAAATTCCTGTAGTTACCAATCCAGTCTTATAACAAAGGAATAAAGTTGAATTAAAAAGCCAAGATCCCAGTCTTAACAACAGGCTTAATAACATTATAATTAACTATAAGATGGTCGGAATGGTTCAACATTATTTAAATATTTTAAATAATTAATGAAACATACAAACAAGTAAATAAAATTACTGTGCTGCATGAAACACAAAATCTACTGAAACATTTGGTAATCTTACATTTGATGTGTAATACAAACATTGTGAAGGATGTTTTTAATGTAACTCAGATAGATACTTTTGCTATTGATCTATTAATATATGTAACTAAGATAGCTACTTATTTCAATGGACATATTACAATGGAAAATATTTTTTTCAATAGGAAATAAATTGTCATAATAGCTAACAATTACAGAGATGGTGTAGAAATGGGGAAAGCCCTCAAACCAAATAGACATCCCACTAAATGGTACAGTATTTTTATAGTCCTACTGGCACTTATATAACATCTATAATCAATCATTTCATCTTTCCATGAGGTTTCTATTGCATCAATATTAAAACCTGAGAACATTATTACAACACAGGAATGTTACAGAGGCCATAGATCAGTATCTTGATTAATTTGATTGAGCAAATTAAAATATTTGCAGCAACATTAACTGGAGGCTAAAGGAAATAATACCATCTATACTTCATCCATGCCAATCTGGATTTATAAAAAAATAAACAAGCGTTTGACAATATCTGCCCATGACTGATATCACAAGCCTAGATAAACTAGAATCAGATGTTTTAATTTAGTTGGATGCTGAAAAGGCCTTGGATATTGTGGTTTTATTTCTGTAAAGTACCTGGAGTCACCATGAGTGAGTTGGATGGCCAGACAAATTTTCTTAATAAATAAAAATAAAAATATTGTGCTATCTGAATTGATGAAGTGCATTCCAAGAACATCTGGGACTGCATCATCTTTTGTTTACTGGATTACAATCTGGTATTTATACTGTGGCTAGAGTTATTACAAATACAGGAATTTTTCAACCTATCAACCTCCGGCAATGTGGAATTTAACATAGTCTCTTATCTCCCTCAATCTTTAATTTGGTTTATTCTGTTCCACTATCTTTAAATTAATAAATATATAGTGGTGCTCAACACTGCATATAAATTGTTTTAATATGCCAATGTTATTATGGCTATCCTTGATAGCAATGTTATTGTATGTTCAAATTATACAGCAATAGTTTACATTCTGATTATATTAAGAATTGCAGTAAGTTTGTTGCCTTCTGGATCTGTTATATCTATATATTTGGAAGGAAAGGGTGACCCATTGAAAAACCCTGAATTAGAGACAGATTGTCATGGAGAACACCTATCTCGGTGACCCTGACTTGAAGGCACAAAATCAAAATTCCATAGACTACTATGGAAGAGGTTCAACTTAATATCAATTCCATCCGAGTTTAAAAAAAAAAAACTCATGGCTAATAAGCAATTTTACAGCATCAGAGTTAACACTATTTCAAGTATTTTACAACTTGTGATCTTTTATTCATTAAACTCTTTTAGTATTCTAAAAGGAAACATATAAAGGGTTTTTCTAATCTACTGCTGTGCTTTCGGTCAAGTACATAGTATATAAACCCACTTCCAATGTTCAGAGCAGCTCACCTGTGTTGAGTTTGATGGCCTTGAGCTTATCCTCCAAAGTAGCTTGCTGCCAGGTATAACTTGCACAGTTTCTTGAATCTCCGGCATATCATCGGCTTCATCATTTTCAGGTTCATCTCTCTTAAAATGAAATAAGTATATATAATCAATCAAAAGAGCACTGAGGTCCCATTTTGGGTGCTCAGCAACTGCCCACGCTTATGGTCATTTGCAGCGTCCCAAGGTCACTTGACCACCATTTCCGACTTTTGGGGCAGGAATCAGTGTTTATTTCCAATTTCTGGCAAAAAAACACCTATTGCAGACAATGGATTTGCTTAATGACTGCAACATTCGCTTTGCGACTGCTGCAAAAACAGGTGTAAAATCGGTACAATCACTGGTGACCTTGGCATGGCATGACCGTTAATTCTGGGTTCAATTATGGTAATAAATCAAGGACTAACTGTAATTCCTGATTGCACTGGATAAAACCTTGGATAATCCCAGAATTTAACAAGATAAATGATGGTACCCTTATCATAACTTAAGCAACAATTATCCCTTTTGCACTGTATCCTATTTAGAGAACAATTCTCTTTAAAAGACATACAAGCTCCCACTTTCATAAAACTTGCCGGTTTTGGTTTCTTCTGATCGCCACCTTTCCTCTCATTCTTCTTGTAGTTTTCGTAAGAGTAAGGATCAATGCACCACAAACATTCTGTCCATTTTCCATAGATCACTGTGAGTTTCTTCTTACTGTTTTTAAAAGAAATGTTAGTTTACTCAGATTTTGTGCTTTTCCAGTCTACTTAAAATCTGACAGAATCTAATTCAGCCCTAACAAGCAGAAAAGAAATATGGTATGATTCTTAACATGGATTGATATGGAGAATGATGAGATTAACCTTTATAACAAGGAGTATTTCTCACTCTACCTACCAACTCTTACAATGTTATTTTTCGTTCCCTCATCAGATGACCTGGAGTAGGAGTGGCCAAAACAAAAAACAAAAAAAAACCAAGGTGACATGAAAAGCTATCATTATCTGCATTTGCTGGAAAGAACAAAACCTCAAAATGTAGACTTAGACTTGGATTAATGTTATTGTCACTTAAAATGTACACTAATCAGCATACATTAAAATGAAATTTTATTGCAATTTGTTACAGCTTTCAAAGGGTCACCACCTCCAATATACACTATATAAATATGCACATATGCACCACCTCCAATATACACTACAAATAAATATGCACATATATTCTATGACACAGAGAAACAACACAGTCTAGTTCGGATGTGTACGTGTACATTTACAAGTTTACCAGGTGGATGGCATATCAGACGGACGTAGAAACACAACTTCTAGAAGCTTTCAACATACTCTCACCTTAAAGTTCACGCCTTTTACATTTTGGGTCTTTTGCAAAATCATAATTAGTTATAAAATGTTCTGAGAGAAAAAGTAGTCAATTTATTTCCAAGGCAATAGAAATCTAGAAATTAAATTAGGTGAGGAAAAATTAGTTACAGGGGCACCGTGGTACTCAACTGCTTTGAAACTCATCAAATTTGGTAATCAACACATTTTAAGGCAAAAAATTTATCCAGGTACTCATTGTTTGTTGGTACTCGACGCATAAGTCGGTGTCGGCTGCCTTGTGACTCAGTATATTATTTCTTATGGGAGAAATGTGTTTGGTATTCATCGTTTTTGGTATTCATCATGCCTCCTGGAACTAATTGATAAATGCAGAGGTACTGCTGTGTAGGAAAATGGGAATGAAATGGTTGGGGTGACAAATTATAAAATAATCTTATATTTGCTTAAATTCCAGACTGCAAGAACTGATAATAAAAATCACTGCTGAGATGCTATTTTTTTTTTATTATGGGTAGAGGTAGTCCTCAACATACAACCACAATAGAGCCCCAAAAATTTCCATTGCTGAGCCAGACAGTCGCTTAAGTGAGTTTTGCCCCTTTACAACCCATCTTGCCACAGCTGCTAAGCAAATGACTGCAGTTGTTAAGTTAGTAACACGGCTTGTTAAGGGAATCCTGCTTCCCCCATTGACTTTGCTTGTCACAAGGTCGCAAAAAGGGATCATGTGACCCCGGGGCACTGCAGCCATCATAAATACGAGGCAGTTGCCAAGTATCCGAATGCTGATCACATGACCCTGGGGATGGCGCAATGGTCATGAAGTGTGAAAAACGGTCGTAAGTAAAAAATATATATATTTCCAACACCATAGAACCTGACTGTTTTAGAAAAGAAATTCTCTGGAACCTCTGATCGAGAGGGGTGAGACTTCTTTTGTTTTTTTTATAAAAAGTTTTATTTTTTATTTTTTACACATCTCTTCAAGTGAGCAACGTGATTCCAGGTTACAACATTCATATATAAACATAATTACATTTCCAACTTTCTTATCTAATTTCATATCATTATCTATTCCACTGGTCTTTAAATAAGTTCTCACTTCATATTTCAATTCATAAATTCAATATCAAAAACATTTCATCCTCACATATATTTTCCACTCTTTATCCCCTATTATTTCCATTTTTAGCTTACCACCTATTTTATTTTACATTAATATCTTCATTAACTTTCTCAAAGCCGATATATAATAAACAAACAAAAAACAGTAAAAATAAAACTAATATATTCAGGATCCACATGGTATATTCCCCAATCTACAATAAATCTTATATTTATTCCAAAGATATTCATATAACCATTTCATATTTTTCTTTGTTTCCACTTAGCCAAAGTTTACCTATGAGATTTTATTAAATTTTCATTACCCTCCTTTTTAATCATATTATGATTAAAATACTCTCATTACAAATACTTTACAATATAATCCTTTCTGGTTTATCATATTCTCTATTTTCTCATATCCTTTATATAATCAATTGCATTTTCTATTTCATGTCTAATATACTGTAGGGGTGGGACTTCTGAACGTTGTGTCAACTCTGAAGCAAACCTGGCTGAAGCTATCTTTTGCTGCCTCACAGTTGCCACAAACTCTGAAAAGGGGAAGGGAGAGGGAGATAGACAGGCTTGCTAACAGTCAAAACAAAAAGTTTTCTTGTGGGAACCAAGGGCATCTGAACAGGTGACTGTGGAAGGAGGAGAGGAGTGACCAAGCAGCCTGGCAGCTACTTTCACTGGACAATGTGACTGGTGACATTTGGGAGGGGGGAGTGTTAATCTTTTAATTAGGTGAAACCCATGGGAACGAGTTGGTTTTCACCGGCTGTGCCGTTATGATGTATCCAATAAACATGTTCTTTGAGGAGACTACCTGCCTCAGAATTCTGCTATCGGTGGATGCGTTACTCGAAACACTGACATGTTGGATGGCAAGCTCTGCCCTTTCAGTGACCAAGGAGGAAAAAACTCTCCATTCCAGTCCCTTTTGGAAAGTGCTTTTTCCTTACTAGTCTTGCAGAGCTCATTCAAGTCTTCGTGGCACCCAGTTTGAAAAACCCCAAACTCTAGAATGGTGAGGTCGCCCTCAATTTATGATGGGACCTTCCTTTGGTCCTACTTAGGACCCAGATTCAAAGTTCTAACAATGACTGAACTTTAATCACTCAGCAACACAGTCCCATTTACAACTCTTGGCAGCATCTCACGGTCATGTGATCACATTTTATAACAGCTTTGCTGAAATCTTTCGCAAAACTGCGCCACAGCAAATAATGGGTTCACTTAACTGAAGCATTTCCTTAACAACCACAGTGAAAGCTCGTAATATCACGTCAGTCACATGACTGACCTGTTTTACTACCTATCGTGACTTATAACTCTAAAGGGCAGGCTTCTTTACAGTCATATGTCAAGGACTACCTGTAATGAAACTTGGATATTGGAGAAATATGAAAGACTTTGTACACCATCCTGGCCCTACTGTTTCCTCAGAAATTGGTAAGACTTCTGTATATTTCTTTTCTGTAGAGCAAACTGGGAAGCTTTTCCATATGGGAAAACGGTGTGTAACCACTTAGGTCCATTCACACCTGCCTTGGGTAGGGGGTTGGACTAGAGCAGTGGTCACCAACCAGTGGGCCGGGGACCACTGGTGATTCGTGAAAATTTTTTGGTGGTCCAGAGAGAAATGTCACCTCCCAAAGTAATTAATCCAGGCTGCGCGGGAACACAAGGCTGTGTCGCCCACATGGCCCACGTGAACACAAGGCTTGCATCGCTTGCATTGAGAATAACATGAGGTAGTGAGGGGAGGGGAGAAAGGGGGGGAACTTGCCCCAATTGCCCCATGCGCCTCACCTGGCCACCGGGCTGCTTCTTTTCTTTTTTCTTTTGGTTGCATGCAAGGAAAGCAGCAAAAGTCTTTCTTTCTCTCCCCCAAACTCCACCAGAAATGAGTCTTTGGGACCCTGCAAGGCATCCTGCTCCAAGAGGCTGTGGCAGTGTGACAAGTCTCACAAAGATTCATTTCTGGTGGAATTTGAGGGAGAGAAAGAAAGGCTTCTGCTACTTCTGTTGCTTTCCTTGCATGAAGCCAAAAGTCTCTCTCTCTCTCTCTCCCCCCCCCCCCCTGAGAACAGAGCTGGAGATGGTATCCTGTGATCCCAAACAAAGAATGATCGCTAGGTAGAAAAACGGGGTGGGGAATTTTCCTACAGACTTTTTTGGGGGATTTTCTCAGGATCTCTAGTCCGTGGGATTTAAAATTATGAGTTTGGTGGTCCCTAAGGTCCAAAAGGTTGGCAACCCCTGGACTAGAGGACCTCCAAGGTCCCTTCCAGCTCTACGATTGTATGATTCTGATAGATTACTTACTTTTTGTCTTGAATGTAGCCCTCTATTCTGTGAAGCTCTTTACCGAACAGCCCACATGGTTTAAAATTAAGAATACATTTATCTCCAGTACTATAAAAACAAAATGAAAAAGGTTATATAATGCTAAGATAGCAAAATAAAAGCTTCTCCCCATTCAGCATTTGCATCACATTAATTTTTAATTTATTTTTATTTGAACCCCGCCTTTATTATTTTCACAAATAAACTCCAGACAGCGAACATATCCAACCAAGCTCTCTCCTATTTTCCCCATAACAACAACCCTGTGAGATGGATCGGGGCTGACAGAGAACATCTGATCCAAAATCACATGGCTGGCTTTCATGGCTAAGGAAGGTCTAGAACTCTCAGTCTCCCGTTCTCTAGCCTGGTGCCTCAACCATTAGACCAAACTGGCTCTCTGTTTATCTGGCTCTCTCATAATGTTGCTATATCACTGTGCTTTAATGACCATAATCACTCATGGGCAATTTTACTGTTGTTTGGGCCAATTCTTCCAGGGAATTGGGGGGGGGGGGGAATAGACCAGCAGACATGTACAAGGCCATCCTCACACCTAGATGGATGCCCCAACACTCTGGTCACTTCATAATGACAAAGAACAGCAGAATTTAAATTGTCTATGGAGCTTCTCAGTCACCCAGGTCATGATTGTCCCAAAGGCACCTTTTCAAGAGGCAACTGGACTTTCTGGTTTTCTTTGAAGAAGTTGAAGAAGCTTCTTGGATGAGAAGCAAAATGTATTCAAAGAAAAACAAAAAAAGTCCAGTTGCCTCTTGAAAAAGCACCTTTGGGACATAACTTAAATTGGTTTCTTTGAACAGGTATTTCAACCCCACTGAATTTAAAAAAAAAACACTGCAGCCTACACTAGTAGCTCTTTTTATTGTATTTTTGTTTGCACCCCGCTCCTAAACAACTTGCTGAAGTTGAGAAGCTTTAAAATTTCCATAGAAAGGACGGTTTCAGGAAAACTCCAACAGTAGCAGAGATTTCTCACATATTCTACCCCAGGTAGTTAGAAAGAAATGTAACATTTCTTTCAGGCAGGCTCATCTCTTCCCACACAAACAGAAGAGAGATATTAAAAATCCACACAAACCAATCTTTATCCTGAACTGCTTCTGCCAATAGGCAAAACCAGGTAGACACACTGATGGTTACACCTAGAAATGGTATACATTATATTTGGCAGGTTTTAGAGCACGCAGTGTGATATAAATGAAAATTTACCTGTGATTTATAATTTCTACAGTTCCATACTGTTCTATCCAGAGCTTGCCAATAATTACATTATGTACACAACAGGTAGGGTTAGTCCAAGTGTAAGCTTCGCGGTGTCTATAAGTGAAGAAGAAAAGGCTGATCAGATGCTTGGAAAATAAAATGAAAGAGGAAAAAGAAGTATTTTAAACAACTGTAATCTATCCATTCCAATTCACCATTTAATGTACACTTGCTTTTTGCACTGCATGCTTGAGACTGGAGCATCTACAATGTGCATGCAAATGGTGCTACAGAGAATATTAAAAGGAAAATGAACAGATTTGTTTTTATTTTTCCTAATGACACTGCAAAAGAGATTGAAAACCCGGTTACAGGTTGTAGTCATTGACATACAGTCATGCATTTTAATGACCATTCAAAGTTACAACAGACAGAAAAAAGTGACATGGCCATTTTTCACCCTTACGACTGTTGCAGTGTGCCAGGGTCACCATTTGTAACCTTCCCAGCTGGCTTCCAACAAATAAAGTCAACGGGGGAAGACAGATTCGCTTAACGACTGTGTGATTTGCTTAACAATTATGGCGGAAACGATCGTAAAGTGGGGCAAAACTAGCTTAATAACTTTCTCACTTAGCAACAGAAATATTGGGCTCAATTGTGGTCATAAACTGAGGATAGCCTGTACTGACCCAGACCTTGAAGAAACATGATGATAAACTATAAGAATCACTTATAGGCAAGGATCACTTGTTGAGATGGGTGACTACAAATTGATCAAATAAATATATAAGATTTGATTTTGTTTGGTGTTTTGCTTTGCAAATTTCTATGGGTATTTTTTTTACTTTATTAATCATGATTTTAGTGATGTAAATTGCGTAGACTAACTAGACTTTCCCTAAATTTATGTAACAATAACGTTTATTAAATAAAACTCATGCATATTAGCTCATGCAAATTAAGCTAATTTAAAAAGATTCTCGGGATTCTTAACAGCTTCACACTGTAGGCAGGTTGGGCTAAAGCAGTTAGATACAAACAGGAGATTTTACTGGAGCTTCCAAACAAAACTCTTACATTCCTAACAGCACCAACACCCTTGACATTTGTGAAACTTACTCAAGATGGGATTTCAACAAACACAAAATCCTAGAATTGACAACATCCCCTTAATGTTTGGCAAAATATTTCCTTGTTCTACCAAAGAGAGAACATCAGTCACATCAAACAAAGCCTAAATCACATATTAAAAATGTTTCATTCTTTCTTTGTCCGCCTTGTATATCCCACATCAACCCTCAATCATAAATGTTCCTTCACTGGAGTAGAAGACAAAGAAGCAAATTAACAAAGAAAATGTCACTTTAAGAGGACATGGCATTTAAAAAAAGCCAGTCAAATATTCCTTTATCTTTGTGAATTGGGCCAATTCACTGAAATGTGGTGTTTTTAGGGGATCCTTGGTGCTCTCTGAACTTGGTTGTTTTCTTACACATGTTTCGTTACCCAAACTAGGTCAGTGCTAGTAAGGAGTGTTGTTTGGTCTCAGCACCTCCAGATGAGCGTAAATTAACTCCAAAATTAACATCAAACCAACAATACAGAAATAAACAATACCCCAATCAAGAAACTGCCAAAGAAGCCAGCAGTAAACAGCCCAACCAAAGAACCTCTAAGACTACCTCAGAGCAAGCCACTAGAAAATAAACTGAGAGCAAACCCCACTCCTTACTAGCATTGATGATGTTACCTAGTTGGGTCATGAAATGTCTGCAAGAAAACAACCAAGCTCAGAGAGCACCAAGGACCCATCATTTTAACCCTGAGCTACAAATATTCTCATTTATTGTGGAATTTTTGTCTGTCTCTTTTCATTGTGCAATTGTGGAGTGACTATACTATTTTCTTCCAAATTCACCATTGATGAACAAACAGTAGATGGCTTAGAATCTCTCTGTATGCTTGCTAATGTCCTAAAGGTGCTTTTTCAAGAGGCAACTGGACTGTCTTGTTTTTTCTTTTGAAGATGTTTCACTTCTCATCTCAGAAGCTTCTTCAGCTCTGACAGGATGGTGGGGAATGGAAGGATTTATATTCCTTGCAGACAGCTGGTAATCTGCATCCTGTTAGAGCGGGGGTATCAGACTCACGTGATCACAGCGACGTCATGTGACATATCGGGACTTTTTTTCTCCTTCGCTAAACCAGGCGTGGCCAGCGTGTGGCCAGCGCCCATGGGCTGGGTTTGACAGCCCTGTTTCAGCAGGTCGTTGAAGCACTTGGAGGTTTATCTGCGTCCTCAGGCTCACCTGAGTAGTGCTCTTGGTTCCTGTAGTAATTTTCCCCCCTGGAAATCCATTCCTACTCCCATACCATTCAAAGAGGGTTCATCCCTATAAATTGTATAGCTAAAAAGTCTGTATAGATTCTCAGGTCATGGTTGTCCCAAAGGTGCTCTTTCAAGAGGCAACTGGACTTTCGTGTTTTGTTTTGTTTTTTCTTTTGAAGATATCTTCAAAAGAAAGAAAAAAAAGAAAGCCCAGTTGCCTCCTGAAAAAGCACCTTTGGGACAACCATGACCTGGATGACTGAGAATCTATACAGACTTTTATATGCTTGCTAATGGTTATAATATTATAACCTTTACCTTTCCCCCACTGGAATAAATGCAGTCTAGATCAGAAAACCTTCCCTCACCAGGGTAATATACTACAGTCCTTCCTCATACCGTTAAAATTCCCTGCTATGCTGGTGGTGAGTTATTATAGGCAATTTGAGCCTTAGAACTAAGAATATATGAAGATACCTGTTTGGTTTAAGCCAAGGGACCATAATCCTATAATAGGCAATAGCCAATCATTCATTTGCCTTCATTTGTGAGTAGCCAATCAATTCAGAAGCATGCAAACATACAATCAATCATATAATAATCTCTCTCACCTGTTGCTCCCTAACATGTTATTTCAAAGACAGCAAACAGCAATCAAGGTCCCCCTAGCCCAGGCCTATCAAACTGGCGGCCCCCGGGCCGGATGCATCATGCGCAGGTCACGCCCACTCCAGCTCCGCAAAGGCAAAAACCATTATGACACATCACAATACGTTATGTGATCGAATTTGGTACTTGTGCCCTAGCCCATTAAACTGCCAGTCCTCCAGGAATATATTTTTGGTTCCCTTTTGAAATCATGCAAATTTGTGCAGATCACATCTAATCTCTATAAATTCTAGTATAACTATGTGTTGCATGAAGAGATGAATTTCCATTGGCTATGAATCTCATTGCCTTGAGTTTGAAGGGATAATCCTGACTTTCTTTGGCACCAAAGAAAAATGCACGCATTGCAACAGCTTCACTGCTAGCCATTCAGTAGTCACTTTGATTCCTGTTTTCACCAATCACGCAAAGTAATCTGTTAGTCATCAAATTTATCAGTAAGCAAGTATAACCTGAATTTAGGCTCTATGACAGAGGTGGGGAATTATGGCCCCTTATTGTTTCTCACTCTGCTCCATGACACAACTTAAAGCATTCTATGTCCCCCCTCCCCCCTCCCCCCAAAGTTACACCTGTTGAGCAGAATAAAGCCAGCAAGTAAAATAGGTACCAATACTCTGGCTTATGACTGTAATGGGACTTACACATTACAGTTGTAAGTCATGATGGGGGAGGTATGACCATTAGAACTTCAAATCCAGGTTGTCAGTAGCCCCTTCAGTAATTCTGTTGTAACTTTGAATGGTTCTTAAATGACCTAAATTGAGGACTACTTGTATTGATGATATAGTGATGCAACTATACAGTAAAGCAATAGACCTTCCAAAATATATTATGGAAAGCCACAGGGCAGGTGTATTTATGATAATTTGGCTCTCATCAACTCTTACAGCAATAATTAGATTTCATTTTAAATAGACGGGCATTTATTAGCTAAAAATAAACTACTTAGTACATATAAACTAATAGCAGCTATATAAAGCATCATTCATCAATGGGATGCAGTGCACTGATGATTTTATCTAGTTTGGTAATGAGAAGTCTGTTTGAGAACCACCAGGATTAGAGACCACTAAAGAACCCACAGTTTAAACCTCAGCAACAAATATTCTCTGCTATCAATATTGATATTTTTGCACTATAAATTATATTAAATGTGCTTAATTCCATATTTGGGGTATCTGAGATAGAAACATTGAGTAATAGAAACTTAAGACATCATATGCAAACAAAATCCAGAAAAAGATCAACAAATGAAAATTTCTTAGTAGAGATAGCTATTAAAAGGAAATACCCAGACAAGAAAGAAGAGAGATACTTACTTTATCAGTTCCAATGTTATGGTTCCCCGGGGTTCTGCTTCTACGCTCTTCCCCCAAAATTTCAATTTAGGATAAATTGAGCCATGAAAAACGAAGTCCTGGTTTAAGCCTTCAGAGTAAAATGCGCTGACAGGTGGATGATGACTGACCTGTTCAGAAATTAACCTAAAACCTAAATCATCCCTAGAAATAAGAAAAAATGATCATCATTAGAATTCAGTTACTGAAAAGAAAAGCTTCAAAATCATTGTTGTGGTCAAACATTTGTCTATCAATTGTAACAGCTTCCTCATCTTCTTATTTGTTTCATTCCTATGTTGCCAATATCAAATGATAATTACTGGCTTTGCTGCGCTGATGATGTTACCTAGTTTGGTAATGAAATGTCTGCAAGAAAAACAACTAAGCTCAGAGATCATAAAGAACCTCATAGTTCAACCTTCAGCTACAAATATTGTAATAGTAGAAATATGGCTGCACAGTGGTTAGAGTGCAGTACTTCAGACTGCCTGCAATTTGGCAGATCGAATCTCACCAGGCTCAAGGTTGACTTGATCCTTCCAAGATGGGTAAAATGAGGAGCCAAATTGTTGGGAGCAATATGCTGACTCTGTAAACTGGTTAGAGGGGGCTGTAAAGCAATGTAAAGCAGTATAAAAGTCTAAATGCTAAGTGCTATTGCTTGTTCAGATTTAATTTTTTTTACAGTGGAACCTCGTGTTGCGACCATAATACGTTTCAGGATTTCGGCCGCAACCCGATTTGGTCGTGACCGGAAGCACAACCGTCTGCGCATGCACGGACAAAACAAAAAACAAAACAAAAAATGGCACCAAAGGAGAAATTGGTGCAGAAAGGGAATCTTTCTGCACCAATTTTGTTCACCGCCCGATTTTTGAATCGTGACCCAATTAAAAAATTGGGTGGATTTTTTGGTCGTCACCCGATTTGGTTGCGAACAGAAGCATTCGCAAACCCAAGGTTCCACTGTATTCCTAACCTGGTCTGCCAAAAAATCAGCAGACTGAAATTTACACAATATTTACCTGCCATGATCTGGCCATTCCAGCTAGAAATTCTACAAGGGACGATCTCAAAAAATCTTGAGAGAATCATGTAGGATTAGCCTATGCCATTTTGACACAGGCAGGCATCTGGCTATTATCTTAAATATTTATATTCACAAAATCCAAACTGGAAGCATTATTTTGGGTCAGGAGCAGAGGACATATGTGGCACATTGCAAAAGTGAAATTAAGACTCCAGCCTCACCTGATTAATTCATAGGTTTCTCCAAGGAGAGGGTTAAATGGTTTGCCTGTTCTCTCCCATTGAGAGGCGACAGCAGACACCGCAAAAGCAGCAACGGCCTGCAAGATGCATTATGGGTAAGAATTTTTCCCACAGAACAGAAAGTAACACAAATCGCATTCTTAATGAGTAATGTAACAACATAATTAAACATTATTGTTAATATTCAAATGCTCCTATCCAGTTTCCCCCAAGCATTGGGAGTGACCAGCACCCTAAAAATATTAGTAACCCCGTGGGCACACTTAGTGCTACGTGATAGACACACTCACAAAATGATTACTGTGGGATGAGCATCTCCATTCATTAAAAAAGTTGATTTAGGCAGATTCCTATTGTCACTTCCTCTAGAATAGCTCCTCCCTGAATGTCCTCCATTATTCCAACTTATATTTGATCTTTTTCAGAGCATATGAACACACTTCCAAAAAGTAGATCTACAACTATTTTTACTATGTTTTTTTTCTTCCAATTGTACAGGATCGAATCTCACATCAGGTCAACCAGTCTCCTGGCCTTAATTTATCAATTTTGACAGTCTGCTGTTCAAAACAGATGCTTTTTTTTCCCCCTAACGAGAAACTGGTCCTGATTATAGGTAGTCTTCGACTTACGACTACAGTTGAGCCCAAACTTTAGTTGCTAAGTGATACATTTGTCAAGTGAGTTTTGCTCCATGTTATGACTTTTCTTGCCACAGTTAAGTGAATCACTGCAATTAGTAACATGTTGTTAAGAGAATCTTGCTTCCCCTATATCCCTTATCCTATAGGGATGCCGCAACAGTCGTAAGTGTAAAAAAAAACTGTCTCATTTAGCAACAGAATTTTTGGGCTCAATTGTGATTGTAAGTTGAGGACTACCCTCTTCCCCTGATCTAAACTGTCTTGACAAAATGGATCCAGTTTCTCCACTGTGAACAAGGTGACCAGGTCTGACTAGTTTTGGAATATGTGATGCCAGTAGAAATCCAATACCGCACTAACGAAGAATAAGGAGAGGGAGAGGGATTCTTAGTTCTAGATTGCAGTGCATGGTTTGTATTTTCATACATATGACAGCGTGGCTACATGAGAATTAAGTAAATTCAAGTAAATTCAAGTAAGATATAGAGACCCACATCTACGTCTAAGAGATAAGAGATAATTCATCAACACTCACAGGAACAGCAAGGGTAATAATATTGCGTAACTGAGCAAAACAACATGGAAAACAAACAATGGAGATTTCCTGCTTTGTTCCACATGGCCTGTTGCACTGATCACCTTTTATCTTTTAATGTTTTATTGCATTGCAATTTCTTGGTTTGATTGTTGTCAGTTATACTCCCAAGGTATTGAGAGTCAGGTGGCATACAGGTTTCAACAAACAACAAAGATAATAGCAATCTTGCCAGGCAAGTTCAACCTATTAGTTCCTGTGCTCTTTGAGGATTTTAGTATCAGGCCAGCCAGGAAATCTCTCCTATAGTTCTTGGTATTCTGAGAACTTGCGGTCAGGTGCTGATTGCAGATCAGGAAACTTCTAGCTGCCTCTCCTGGCCTGAACCCCCCATTGGAAGAGGCTTTATGGAGCTACAAAATATCTAGAGTCACTAGCTAGCCTTCAGTCTTGGTTGTGACCTAGCTACTCTGAAAACTTATTATATAAGTGCTCTCTCTTTTAAAGCAAACATGATTACTAGTATAGAGTCTCTCTCCCTCTCCCTCTCTCTCCCTCCCTCCCTCCCTCCCCCTCACACAAACCCCTACTTTTACAAGATTATTATGATACTATGCAGTATAAACGAGGAGAAAGCCTTAATGCAAGAAAGCCATACAAATATGAAAAATCTTACCTGCATTCTTTCTAGAGGGTTAAAATGACAGTTTGCTTTATTAATGAGGTATGTGTGCTCCATATATTCTGATATTCGTTGAAGGAAGCTCAGGGGCTCATTGAAGGCAATGGGCATGGTAATTTTTGACAGCTCCTAAGTAGTAAGAAGGGGGAAAAATACAAAACCGTGATTCCACAAGCAAATTTTAAACAAGTCAATTAATAGACATCAACCTCAGACATCTGCCTTACAGCTTGCTACTACTTAAACATCAGACAAACAAAACACAATGCGAAAGGATGTTATTTCAGTTGCCACAACACATTATGCTGCCAATTTTTTTCAACATAAGAAGTCTTTGAACAGATAGCTATGCTGCTGTTTGGTTATTTTTACTTCTTAATCTATCCATTCTGCTCAACATGCGCACCTATCCGCTTTACACACATTATATTTCAAATATATTGTTTCACAGCCTCAGCAACTTTCAGATGGACTTCAACTCCCAGAATTCCCCAGCCAGCTATGCCACTCTACTAAGCTGAAGTCCAGCCATCTTAGCAATAGCACTTAGACTGATATACTGCTTTCACAGTGCTTCCATCCATCCCTGTGGCACAATGGTTAGAATGCAGCATTGCAGGCTAATTCTGCCCACTGCCAGGAGTTTGATTTGTCTTCCGTATGTATTCACCTGAATCTACATTACTGCGTCCATCTGGTTTATTGCCATCCACATGATTTATTTCCACACTACATTTATCAAACATGCCAAGCAAACCATACTAGTATATCATAGCAACTTACCAATCCAATACATTTTTTTAAGATACCCCAGACACTGAAATCACTCCTAGTAAATGTTGGGGCAGGTAAAGATGTTCTGCAGAAAGAATAAATCAATATATTAATACTAGGGTTCCCTAACTTTCCATTAAATATTATTCTGCAATGGTCACTACACAAAGCTATTTTCTGGATTTTTTCAGTTGTACAGGTCAGGGGTCAGCAACCGTAAACAGTTAAAGAGCCACAAAGGTCCTAATCGGAAACCCCCAGTTCAATTCTGGGGCCGACTGGATGTTCGTTCCCGTCCCCCCTCCCCCGAATCTCCTCCTAGCACGGCGTCCTTTTTCCTCTACCTGTCCTAACCGAAAGCCCTATCAATTGTGGAGCCAATTGGCAACAAGGAGCCGCAGCAGTGGGATGAAAGAGCCACATGCGGCTCCAGAGCCATGGGTTGCTGACCCCTGGTACAGGTGAACAGTTTTAAAGTGACAGGTACAAATATAAAACCACCTGTTGGGATATTTTCAGTAATTTTTCCAAGATTCTTCCGACACTTTTGGCTTTATCTTTGCAATATTATGAAAGTATATGAGCATTATCCTGCCTCGAAGAATATGGCATGTGCAAACCTATGTGCACTTTTAAACATGATGATAGCAATTTCTCAAAATTTGAAAATGTAAATATCATTTAGTACAAACTATTGAGAATGATGTGATTCATCTCCAAGAAAAGGGTAAGGTATTATTTTTTTAACACAAAGCAATAAGGTAAAATCACCTAATGAACTGAACTAGATTTCTATCAGTTCACTTTTGAAATGAAAACTAAATGGGAGCAAATCTAACATGACTCTTCCAACAAAGTCCAAATAAAACTTCAGCTTTAAAATTAAACATTCTTTTAGATTAATGTTTTTCAACCTTGGTTGGCAACTTTAAGATGGCTGGACTCAAACTCCCAGAATCCCCCGGCCAACATGGCTGGCTGGAGAATTCCGGGAGTTGGAGTCAATCATCTTACAGTTGCCAAAGTTGACAGACACTGTTTTAGGTAATTCTGGAATGAAAAAAAAACCCTCACACAATTAAGCAATTAAAATCAACACTTTTATTCATTTAATCCAACTAAAGATGAAGAACTTATAGTCTATCTCAGCGTTCGACTACTTCAAAACTTGTCGAATTCGGTATTCAACATGTTTTGAAGCAGGAATCTTCACCTGGCACTCGCCTTTCTCCCAGTAGTCAACATGTGAGGAAGAACTTACTGGTGTCGGCTGCCTCATGACTCGCTATTTCTTCCAGCCGAAATAGAGGTTCATGCAGTAAGTCTTGTGATTTTCTAGGTTCTGGTCAGTTTTAGAATTCGTCATGTCCTCCGGAATGAATTACCAGCGGGTACTGAGGTACCACTGCATTTTTTAGTTTGCTTGTGGGATGTGATTCTCAAAGTGTAGCATTCTCACTTCCCATTTTGATGATGAATCAACCATTGGTGTTGAAAAACCATCCTGAGTTGCCCTCTGTTTCACTCATAGTTTATTGTAGTTTATGTATCATTCTAATAATTGTTAAGTATTAAGAAAATTAAAAAGCAAAATAAAAATAGTTCTCCATATACAGGTATGAAGTCTACACACTGCTCACTCTCAAAAATCTAGTCTCCTTGGCAAAAATTCCCAACCAAAGCAATTGTTTTACTAAATGTGAGGCCCTACTTGGTCAGTTTCAGAGAAAGCACCTGTGTTTCTTGATTCCGTTCTCTTGCACTGGGCCGTCGCCATTATGCTTTCCAGTCCTGTTACTCGGGTGGTCATCCACATCAACTTTGTGAACTGCTTCTGAAAATTCTCCTGAAGAATTATCGGAATCAAAGCCTGTGTAAAGAAAGTGAACCATACTGAAACCATATTTACGGGACCCTGGGGGTTGCCCTGTAAATAATACAGTAATGGAAAGCAGCAAGCATGAAATACAGTACTTCTCTGCATATGAACTGCAAGTGTAAATGCCATAAACTGAATTTTCCGTGCTACTCCAATATGAAGAACCATACATTCCATTCTTTTGTGTTGATTACGCTTACTCCTTTAGGTGACTGCTTACGTAGACCATCTAATCTAGATAAGTTAGGCTCCTAGAATCAGTACGACAGTTTATACCAGGTTTTTCCAAACTTGTCAACTTTTAAGATGCATGGACTTTAACTCTTTGAATTTCCCAGCCTGTTCTCAAAATAAGTGTGCACCATTCCCCAGATAGCATGCCGTTCTTCGCAATGCCTTGGCAGGCTTTTCAGGCCTTCTCGTGATAAGGTCATGCCATGGGAAAGCAATTTGGAGAACAGCGCATGCTATTTGAATAGTGCAAGCAGCCTCGGGAAGATGTGGTATGGCCAGCAAGAGATAGCAACTGTCAGTTGGAGGGATGGCAGGCCAGAGGGCCAGCAAGCAGAGGGTGGCAGGCTGGCAGGGCAAGGTGGCAAGGCCCGTAGGTTGAGCAGAGCACAGGACAGCAGAGCGAGTGGAGTCCAGGGAGGTGTGGGTTGACTGGGGTCTTGCACTGGTACCCTGGGAGAGTGGCCACGGTACAAAGCTTGAAGCAACTCTGGGCAGTGGTGATGCCATAGCTAAAGCAGAGGCCTGGGGACAGTGGGGGCCAGCTGAGATTGCTGAAGGCCTCTACTTTAGCCCCAGAGCTGCCATGGAGGAGTGCCACTGTGCACTGCAGCAAAAAGGCAGAGATGGGGATTGAAGCTCTCCTGCAGTTGTTAAGTTAAGGGGAGCTGCCAAATGCCCAAATCTTATTCACATGATTGCGGGGATGCTGCAATAACGATTAACTTTAGGGACCAAGTAATTAAGTACCATTCATAACTTCAAACCGTTGCTTAACAAATAGTCATAACATGAGGAGTACCTGAACAAAATCATGGAAAAGGAGAAGTATTCAGGTAAAAAGTGGCACAGCCACAGTGTGGTTGTATAAGTATGGTGGTTTTTTTTTTCTTTAACATTAGATTTTTATCCCTCTTTTGTTTTATATATAACCCAAGGTGGCAAACTGTCTCCCCAGAATAACCACTCTCTGAGGGGGGCTGGGCTGAAAGAGGGACTGGCCCAAAGTCACCCAATCAGCTTTCATGTGTAAGACAGGACTCAAACTCATATTCTGCTGGTGATTGGTCCAAAGATACCAGTTAGCTTTCATGACTAAGGTTGGACTGGAACTCATATTCTGCTGGTGATTGGTCCAAAGTCATCCACTTGGCTTTCATTCCTAAGGAATGTCTAGAACTCAGTCTGCTGATTCCTAGGTCAAGCATGTTAAGTATGACACCAAACTGCTTCCTTTATATAAATTGTTTTCTAGGCTAAACAGCTATGGTCCAGGGAAATCACTTTTTTTTTGCCCCAAGAAACACAATGCATCACAACACAGGATGCTTGAATCATAGTAATGGCAACTGTCATTATTTTTCAAAGAGAATTCTGAGCTACGAAATTTGTGTGAGCCTCAGTGTCGCTTCTGTGAACTATCAGATCTCTGACTTAAAAGACTTCTGGTTTTGAAGTGGCTGCTAGTTGAGCAGGGCGGGGTGGTGGCTAAGAGATCTTTTGCCCACAGGCTCATTATCACACACCTAGACTACTGCGATGTGCTCTGTGTGGGACTGCTCTGAAGACTACCTGAAAGCTGCAGCTGATACAGCATGTAGCAGCCCATGTGCTGGCACTTTGCACTGACAGCACATTCTCCCTGTGGTTTGAGTCCAGCATGGAATCCCAACAGACATGTCGATGCAATTCAAAGTATTGTTTTGACTACAAAGCTGTACGTCACTTGATGCGTGATTACCTGCAAAACTGGCTTCTCTTGCCACAAGAGCATCACAATTGTCCTGGGGTAAAAAATGTAGGGACTTTTTCAGGCAGTCACCGAGAGTCAACACTGACTTGAAGGCAGCACACAAACAATAAATATACCACTGTAAATAAGTCGGCACAGTCCTTACTACTGTTTTGGGTAACATACCCACATTCCTCTCACTTTAGATTACAAGCTGTCTAGTAGAAAATGTCAATTTCATTTTCCAAAGCCTGAAAGGCAAACTAATATGTAAGGGAACTGGCTGGTGGTTCAATTGTGTCTGCCATATGGGTAATATCAGTTGAGAATGAAGGAGAAAAGTAAACAAAGTCAGAGGCCATTTATCTCAGGTTAACAGCTTATGAATTATAGGTTGATGCTTACAGAGTTTTAAAAAGGAAAGAGGAGATTAGAAGTTGTCCATTTAATATTCATTTTCATTACAGGAATGAGGTATGGCTATCTAGCAAGGGCATGGAAGAATAGACAGTCACCAACTTAAAACAGTCTTTTTAACTCTGGACAGGATGTAGTGAGATTTTAGTCAGTGCAGAAACTACTGTATTTTCCGGACTATAAGCCGCTACTTTTCCCCCCACGCTTTGAACCCTGCGGCTTGTACAACAATGCGGCTTATCTATAGATTTTTCTTCGCTAACTGCCATCAGGGGGTGCAAAAACGTGACAGACGCAAGAGATCAATGCAAAGAAGAAGACGCTACCGGTAGTTTTTGGCGCGCTCGACGCAAGCAGCACAACACGCACGAACGCAAAGTATTTTTCACACCCTCATCATGCAAAGTAGACGAAGAAAACTATATGATGCAGCTTCTAAGTTGAAAGCAATCAATCTGTCTATCCAGGAAGGAAAAAGAGCTGCTGCACGTAAGCTTGGAGTTAATGAATCAATGGTGAGACGTTGGAGACGTCTGGCCGCATGCGAAGAGCATTCTTCTCTTTCTGTGTAAACATCTCATTTCACAACGTATATATCTGCGGCTTATGGTCTGATGCGGCTAATATATGTAAAAATATTTTTTTCTTTTAAAATTTAGTAGGTGCGGCTTATATTCTGATGCGCTCTATAGTCCAGAAAATACAGTATGTCTAGTTGTAATCATAATACATCTGGAGCAGGGGTGTCAAACTCAATTTCATTGAAGGCCCCATCAGGATTGTATTTTACCTCGGAGGGCCAGAGTGGGCGTGCCCAGAGTGGGTGTGGTCAGCTCGACATCACTCGTGTCAGGGGTGCCTGTGGTGGCCCGAGCCCTCTGCCAGAGAAAACAGGCTCCTGAGCTCCGTTTTCGGCTGCAACGGCCTCCTGTAAGTAACCCTCTGCCAATGAAAACAGAGTTCAAGAGGGCTGTGTGCAGCCCACCCGAGTTCTGTTTTTGCTGGCAGAGGCACCGCAGGCCAGTCTTTCGCCGTTTTCGGGGTGGCCCTGCGGGCCAGATCTAATCACCCCGCGGGCCGGATCTGGCCCCAGGCCTTGAGTTTGACACCCCTGATCTAGAGTAGCCTTTCTACCTATCAGGCCCAGGCCAAGGATGATGTACAACAATCCAGCCGAAGTTCAGTGCTTTATCTGCTTACACCATATCGACAGAATCTTACCAAATTAAACCTATGTAGACGATAGGTTACTCTATTACTCTACAGATTAATTCTTGTAGATTACAGGTAATCCTCGATTTACAACAGTTCATTTAGTAACCATTCAAAGTTACAGCAGCACTGAAAAAAAGTGACTTAGGACCATTTTTCACAGTTAAAACCTTTGCAGCATCCCCATGGTCATGTGATCAAAAATAAAGACGCCTGACAACTGGTCCGTATTTATGACGGTTGCAGTGTCTCGGGGTCATGCGATCACCTTTTGCGATCTTCTGACAAGCAAAGTCACGGGGGAAGCCAGATTCACTTAACGACTAGGTTACTAACTTAACAACTATGGTGATTCACTTAAACAACTGTGGGAAAGAAATGTCTTACAATGGGGCAAAACTCACTTTAGAAATATCTCACTTAACAACAAAAATGTTAGGCTCAATTGTGGTTGCATGTTGAGGACCACCTGTGTTCTATAAACCTATGGAGTATATATATAGATTACTCTAACCCTAACAAATATGTCCTGGGGGAAAAATACTATCCTAACTCTCTTCCTATGTCTCCAGTCCAGCTCTGGCCTCTGTTTTCTCTTGTCTCACAATCTTCCATGGCAGGGGTCCCCAAACTTGGCAACTTTAAGACTTGTGGACTTCAACTCCCAGAATTCTGGGAGTTGAAGTCCACAAGTCTTAAGGCCAAGTTGGGAGGCCTCTGCTCCATGGAGTGTGCTACTTCTTTCCTGGGAAACTGACTCTTCACTATCACACCACCTCCACTTTCAGAGGCACAATCCATCACATGACCCTCAAGGAACCCACAGAATCATGTGCAAGGACTCAGAGACCCCCCTGCCAAAAAATGATTTTAAAAAATAAGAACATTTCACAATACTTCTGATCTTGTTTTGCAATATTTACCACAACAGCAACACAGCAGTCTGGCAGCTGAGCTGCTGCTCGTAAGAAGTCTCACCACTGTAAGCACTATTATGAAGTTCAAAAAAAAATGATGTGTTATGAGTTCTTTTCCACATCACAATCTCTTGTGTAACCTCTAGTGACCCCACATGGGACTGCCGTTGAGAAAGGCCGATCTGCAGAGTACATGGTAAGGAAGAGCTGTTCTGAATCATGCTTTAAAACTCAGCAAAGACGCATTAAATGACTTTTATGTTATCAAAGACTTTCACATTCTTCTCTATCTGAAGAGGTTCAGAGTATTCTAGGGCATATGGGTAAGTACAGCATATACAATCAGTTGGTACTGTGTATTTTTCCATTGACTCTTATGAGTGCACTCTTATGGTCAAAAATGCAGCACAATGTAGTGACATATGTGGAGATCTGTACATTGGAGAAACAAAACAACCCCTTCACAAGCGCATGGCACAACA